ACCCCTCCTCCTCAAGTGATCCTGCCCTTACCCCTCCTCCTCAAGTGATCCTGCCCCTATCCTCCTCCTTAAGCGATATTGCCTCAACCTCCAATAAGTAACACCTCCTCTACCCCTTTCCCTAAGTGACACCTCCTCTACCCCCTTCCCTAAGTGACACCTCCTCTACCCCCTTCCCTAAGTGACACCTCCTCTACCCCCTTCTCCACAAGGAACACCCCCATCCCATAAGGGACACCTCCTCTACCCCCATCCCATAAGTGACACCTCCTCTACCCATTCTACATAAGTAATACCTCCTCTCTCCCTCCTCCATATGTGACATCTCATCTACCTCTTCTCAAACGACACTACCCCTCCCCTTCCTTTCAAGCAACCTAACCTCCCCCTGCTCCGCCCCTCCCATCCCTGTCAGTCAGGAGCCGATCATAGCCAAGCAGTGATGGTGGCAGTTGATGGTAAACAGGCCAGCACTTAGGCAGCATGCACACCAAAGCTACTGCTACTGACCTTGCAGCCACTTAGCGGCAATCTCCTGAGGGCTCGCTAGATGGCAGCAGTGGGGGAAAACAACGAAACATCACTATAACTGCACAGACACGTGATCGGGCGGCGGCAACAGCTTGCGGGCTGCCTCGTTCTGGCGCCACCTGCCACACCGAGATCAACGACAAAACCTGTCAAACTTGCGCGCTGCCTGCAACATCGACTGCAATTTTCACAAGCAGCCGTAAGCTTCCCAGTGGCGATGGGCAAAACAGGGGGCGCCACCGTGTAAAAGCTCAACTGGAGACGAAGAACAATCAGTCATCGCTGCAGGAGCGTGCAGGACTTCAGCAGCAGCGCCATCTGTGGTGGCGGTTAGCTGCTATCAAATCAAATATGCAGAGGTGTGACCCGCTCTCCTCCCGACCCTCCGCCCACTCACGCTACCCCTAAATGCGCGCATATAAGCATGCTATGCTACGTAGTACACACAAGTGTCAAGGTGATGCAACAGAAATGAAGAAAACATTTTCACAGGTCTTTCTCTCCTGGTCCTTGCTCGCGCCACCACTGCTGTACATCACCCTCAAAGAACAACAAATCCTCTTCAATAAACTCTCGCACCTAGCTCCATTCCCTCTCTTCCTCTTATGGAACGCGGGCACCCACGTAACACTAACCACGATCATTGCTCCGCCGCTGCAAATAACCTCCACCAGGGGGCACTACAATATTTCCGTACCTGCTTGACGTCAACGGGTCGCGCGAAGATGGCGCCGGTGTCGATCTCCTGCAGCTGGTGGACAGCTTGTCGTAGCAAGACGTTGAACGGCTGCAACCTGAGATTCAGCGTGCGCTGGTGCAGGATCATCTAAGCGACAACAAATCGAATGGAAAACGACAAATAATGACTCGGAACAACAGTGAACATCTGTGATGATCAGCACGAACGAATGCGTATAAACTATGATAGTTGTAAAACAGACAACAGATGAGCAGATGAGAGACGGTAACCAGATTTGTAAAGCCTAGCACAGACCTGCGATTTTTGGTTGCTCGTCGCTGCAACCTGCAACCGCAAGTGATCAGTCGATGGGTCACCGCGTGTGCGCACACATGCAATTTCGAAGCAATGCTAGAGCAATTTGGGAGGGATTGGGAGCGATGAGTCGCTCAAAATCAAACAAGTTTGATTTCTTGCAACTCGTCACAAGCGACCTGAATCGCTACGGGTTGCAATTGCACATTCCCGCAGACGTAGCGATTTCACAGCAATTTTTACAGCGATTCTAGAATCGCTGTCAAGTTGCATGAAAAAGTCGCACGTCTGCACTAGGCTTAAGCAGGTTGTGCTAGCAACATCTGAGGTGAATTATGGACAGCCAGGAAGCTCCGGTGTTACATCAGCAGGTTACTCTACCAATCTGACACAGTAAATCACGCCAGTAGATTGCACATAAAACTGACCTGATTCAGTTCTGCTGGTCACAGCTAAGTTTTCTCTCTATCTCCCTATTATTGTTAGGCTAACACCATGGGTTCCACCAACCCTCTCATCCAGCCAGCCTCCTACACAACCACCCTTCCTGCTACCCTCCCACCCATTTGTAAACGTACAGTGCAGCTAAGCACCCACCACCTGAACACAGATACGAGACATTGCAAGTGGCAGTGTTAATATAACATGGTATAAGATAATCTACAATGACATACTGCACACTAAGGCATGATACAAAACCTAGCAGCATGATACAAACTTAGCAGCATGATAAACATCCAGCAAGATGATACACACTCAGCCACATGATGCAGACTCAGTGGCATGGTGCAGACTCAGTGGCATGGTGCAGACTCACTGGTATGATACAGACCCAGCAGCATGACGCACCTATGACCTACCTGCCTTCCCTATCGCATTGCATCCCCGGCCTGTGACTGCATCACCCCACCCCCACCACCACAGCCTCCCAATCGTCAGTGTCATTGCTGTCCGTGTGCACGGGCATGCAAAGCTGCGAACATACAGCCACGGCTCAGCAATAGATGCAAGATGCAGGTGCATTGCGCACGCGTGCGTGCATGTTTCATCATTCACAACCAGGGCAGCTTGCTCACTCATTCCCACCCAAGCTATCGCAGACTGAGCAGGACATGCAATCAGCCCTTTCCACCTATCACCACACCACACGCCCTCACCTGCCATTATTTCTGCAGACGCAGACAGAGACAGATAGACATAGCTGTGACGTTTCCACGGATATGACATAGCTCTGCTGAGCGTTTCCACATTCGTTGCCCCCCCCCCCCCAGCTCCTTACTGCCCTCAACCGTAGTGGAGTATCACCTACTCACCCAATAATCCTCTCTCCCCAAGTGACCTCTACGGAGGCTACCTCAATCGTCCGCAAACGTCCACGACAGATCTTGGTGCCGCTCTCGCTTCTTCGGCCTCAATTCACCATGCCCAACTAAGTTCTAGATTTCCGGTTACATTTGTTAACACTTTTTTACTACAAGTTTACAGCAGCCACTGTTACTCGTTATTCTCTCCTCTATGCTAATAACCATTTGGACTAATAAAAGTCTGCAAGGTAATATTAAAAATCCCGACCGTTATTTCACTGAAAAATTCTGTCATAAATAGTGATACGAAATAGTACGCGGAGTTGTTGCGCTCGCGCGGGTTTACCGCTTTCATAATCATGACTTTGCTGTTTACAAATCTTCCATTTCGCTGGATATTCCCCGAAGCTTCCGTCTCTCCACTTCAATAAAAATAGTGGGCTGAGCTATTCTGTGGCATGTGGATATCCTGCAGTGTGTACGAAGGCGGTATCTGCATTGCAGTTTGACCTCAAACCCCCTCCTCCCTCAAGGTGATTCTTGCCCTTACCCCGCCTCCTCATAGTTGCATCCTGCCCTATCTCCTCCTTAAGCAGATATATGCCTCAACCTCCAATAAGTAACACCTCCTCTACCCTTTTCCTCTAAGTGACACCTCCTTCTACCCCTTCCCTAACGTGACACCTCCTCTACCCTTCCCTTAAGTGCACACCTCCTTCTACCCCCTTTCTCCAACAAGAACACCCCCATTCCCATAAGGATCAGCCTCCTCTACCCCCCATAACCAGTAAGGTGACCACCTGCTCTACCCATTCTTACTAAGTAATACCTCCTCTCTCCCTCCTCCATATGTGACATCTGCATCTACCTCCTGTCCTCACAACGACACTACCCCCTCGCCCTTCTCTATCAAGCACCTAACCGTCCCGCGTGCTCCGCCCCTCCCATCCCTGTCAGTCAACGGAGCCGATCATAGCCGAAGCATGGATTCGGTGAGCAGGTTGATGGTAATACAGGCCAGCACTTAGGCAGCAGTGCTACACCAGAGCTACTGCTACTGACCTTGCAGCCACCTCTAGCTGGCAATCTCCCTGAGGGCTTCCGCTAGATGGCCAGCCAGTGTGGCGGAAAAACATACTCGAACATCACTATATCTGCACAGACACGTGATCGGGCTTTAAGGCGCAGGCCAACAGCTCTGCGGCTGCCCTCGTTCCTGGCGCCACCTGCCACCGGCAGGACTCAACGACAATAACCTGTCCAAACGTGCGCGCTGCCTTGCATAGCATCGGCACTGCAAATTTTCCGCGAGCCAGCGTAAGCTTCCCAGTGCGTATGTGCGCAAAACAGGTGCGGGCGCTCACACGTGTAAAGCTCAACTGGTAGACGAAGAACCAATGCAGTCATCGGCTGCTCCGACGCGTGCTAGGACTTCTAGCAGCCGATCAGCCGCATCCCATTGTTGTGTCGGCGGTTAGCTGCTATCAAATCAAATATCGCCAGAGGTGTGGACCGCTCTCTACCGACCTCCGCCCACTCACGCTACCCCTTAATGCGATCGCATATAAGCACTGCTATTGCCTACGTATGTACACACAAGGGTGTCAGGTGCGGATGCCAAGCAGGAAATGAAGCAAGAACATATTTCACAGGTCTTTTCTCTCCTGAGTCTTGCTCGCTGCCACCACTGCTGCTTACATCACGCCTCAAAAGCAACAAAAAGCTCCCTCTTCAATAAATCCTCTCGTCACGCCTAGCTCCATTCCCCTTGCGTGCCTTCACTTCTTCATGGAACGCTGGCCCGGGCACCACCGTCAACACTACACCCATACGCGATTCATTGTCTCCGCAGCTGCAAATAACCTCCACCAGGGCACCTTACATATTTCCGGTACCTGCGTTGGCGTCAACCGGGTCGTCCCGCGTACAGATCGGCGGCCATCTGCGGGCCCCGCCGTCGATCTCCTGCCCAGCTGTCTCGCAGCTTGTCCGTAGCAAGGACGCAGTTTGAACGGCCTGCACACTGAAGACATTCAGCTCGTCGCCGCCTGGCTGCTTAGGATCGATCATATTAGCGACAACAAAATCGAATGGCAAAACTGACAAATACAATGACTCGAACAACAGTGACATCTGGTGGCATGTATCAGCAGCGAACGAAATGGTATTCAAACTATGATAGTTGTAAAACAGACAACGCACGGCTACGCAAGCACGCACGTGCACGCTGCACGCCACGCTACTGCAGACGCCACGCAGCGAGCGGGCGGCGAGGCGAGGCGCACGCACGCACGCACGCACGCCACACAACACACACGGGGACAGATACACGACACACGCGCCAAGCCCAGTAAATACAGCACAGTACACCCATTAACCACAGTGTCATTGCACTACACACAGCCTGCTCGCGCTTTCAGCTTCATCACGCTCTGCCGTATCGGAGTTCGACGAGCAGACGAGCCTTTTCCAGGTTCTGCCGCAGTCGCTGCCAGTATCGCAGCTGCTCTAGCAGGATGTTCGCTCGCTTGTCGTTCTCTAAAACTGCAACACGACCAACAACAACCCATCATAGCGCCATTCTACCGACCATGGGGGGAAGGAGACAAGGCTGGGGGGAAGCCAGGGCTGGGGAAGCCAGTGCTGGGGGGAAGCCATGGTCTGGGGCGAAGCAGGGCCTGGGGGGAAGCAGGGCTGGAAAAGCGCGCGGCTAGGCGAGGGAAGCCACGCGGTGGCTGGGGGGAGAAATGAGGGGCCCGCCAGGGGGTGCGGGGCGGGCGGGGAAGCCAGGGGCTGGGGCGATAGCCGAGGGCTGCCGGGAAGCCAGGCAGTGGCAAGCAGGGCGGAGAGGAAGCAGGCTTGGGAAGCTAGGGCAGTGTTGTAGTCGGAGGCCGCGGCATCCCGCGAGATCGCAGTCCGCACCCCCCCCCCTCGAGTCCGCACTCCGAGTCAGTTGAT